AGGAGTGGGGTGGGAGGGGTGTGGTGGGAGGGGAGAGGTGGGAGAAGCCCGGGGCCCTGCTTTTGGCCCAGCACCCTGTCCCTCCCTTCCTGCTTCTTGCCCTTCAGCTTTTAAGAGGGTGAGCAGTTACAGCGAAAGAGGGAGTGGTGAGGGACTTCCCTAGGGGTCCAGTGGCTAAGACTCTATGCTCCCAATGTAGGGGACCCAGGTTCCATCCCTGATCAGGGAATTAAATATACATGCCGTAACTAAGAGTTTGCATGCCACAACTAAAGATTCCGCATTCAGCAACAAAGGTGGAAGTTCCTGCATGCTGTTACTCAGATTCGGCATAGCAAAATAAATAAATAAATAAATAAAATTTTTAAAAAGACAAAAAAAAAAAAGAGGGTGAGCACCCTCCGCCTTCCCCGCCGAGGCTTCCCAACCCTGACTGTGCTCAGCCCCGCATATAGCTGGTGCTCAAGAGATGTTTGCTGACTGAACAAATGTGACTGAACTGTCACTTCTGCTCTGGGGTAAAGGTGCATTTGCACGTGAAAGGGCATTGCACCCAGAGTTCTTGGTTTCAGAAGGCATCGGCAGTGCGGAGCAATCCGTGACCCTGCACGTAGCAGCCGCACCACCTCACCAGGGGCCCGCGGAGCAGTGGCACCTCCCACGGCTGGCCCTGCCACGTCATCATATAACAGGATCGCAGGGACCCCTGCACTCAGCCCCGCCCCCCGGCCCAGGGGCCCCCAGGTCTCTGAAAGGGCTGGTGGGGAAGGGTCAGGCCAGACGGCTGGGGTGCGACCCTCTACCCTCTCCGCCCCGAGGGCCGGTGGCCAGTGCCCAGCGAGGGGTAAGGGTGTGCAGCAGGGAGGGGTCCCTTATCAGCAGCAGCAGCTGATCTGAGGAGCCTAATTGCCCGTTTCCTGTGGGCCATTGATCCTCTAACTACGTCTCCAGCTTCAGGCCAGCTGTCTGCCTTTCCGGGCCCTCACAGCCTTCGGAAAAATGTCAAGTTTTCCTGGTATCAGCAGGAAAATAGGAAACGGCTTGGAAAAGGGAGCTGCGTCAGACAATGGTTTAAGGAGGCCCAGCTGTGGATAAACAGTCCTGGTTGCCCTTTGGACTCTATGGATTTAAACACAAGCTCAGGAATGCTTGTTCTGTGCCGGGAGATAAACAACCTAGAAATGAAGCAGGCTGGCTCCTGTTGCCAGCGGATGCCGGAGGGGCCGGCAGGGGGCCCCCAGCTGCTGCGATGCAGGGACTCCTCTTGGGGCCTCCACCGGCAGCTGCGGACAGGTGCACGGCTCCCCGGAGCTCCGCGCGTGCTGGGCGCTCAGTGCGGGGCGGGCCCTGCCAGGCGCGCCCGCTCTGCTGCCCGGGGAGGGGGAGTGTGTGAGGCCTGCTCATCTCTCTGGCTGCTCTGCAGGCAAGCAGGATTTGTGCGGGGTCTTCAAAGGTGCTTCTGTGTTTTTTGTACAGGAGTAGGGCATTTGGGAACTGATATTAAAAGGTACGGGGCCTCGCTGGTGGCTCAGTGGTAAAGAATGCGCCTGCCAAGCAGGAGATGTGGGTTCAATCCCCGGGTTGGGAAGAGATCCTGGAGGAGGGAAGGGCAAACCCCTCCAATATTCTTGCCTGGAAAATTCCATGGACAGAGGAGCCTGGCTACAGTCCATGGGGTTTGCAAAGAATTGGACATGACTGAGTAACTAAACAACCACAATAGCAACACATTAAAGGTACACTTACCCAAGGAGTAAAGTCCCTGGAAGTGGCCCCTTGGCTCTCTGGTGGTGAAAATTGGGCGTGGCCTGCACAGCTGGGGGTGAAGGTGACCCTGAAGGAGCCATATACTTAATGCCCCTGAGAGTGACTGAAGTGCTGGAGCCCTCATCCTGGGTGGGGGGCTGAGCTCTGCACCCCCAGTTGTGGCAGATCCTTAGGCCCACGCACCTGGTGGGGATGCCCCTGTGGCCTCTTGGTTTCTGAGACTAAGATGCGGATGAGCCCTGGGAGCAGGGGGTGCAGCCGGGGAGCTCGACTCCCGAGGAGAAGGGGGAGTCTTGCCCCACCCCCACCCCCGCTGGCTCCTTTTGTCACCAGGTCACCTTTGCCACTCGGTGGCCCGGGCTGAGTTCAAGGGCACCTTGTCCAGCCTGAAAGGTGTGGTCTGAGCAACACCCCATTTCAAGCCAAGTTCCAGTGCCCAGCAGGAGAGGGGCTGCCGGGTCCTGTGGGAGCAGAAGGCGTTGCTGACCCCTCCAGGCTCCTTCTCTGTTGAGAGGAGGATGCAGCCAGGCCTGCCCTCAGCCTGCGCTCCACCCATGTGCCCACCTGGTGCCTCAGGTCACCTGCCTGCCCAGGTCACAGCTGTGAACATGGTGGGGAAATATTTGGTAACAGTAACATACGTGGCGATTCCCTGTGGCTCAGTGGTAAAGACTCCGCCTGCCAGTGCAGGAGACCTGGGTTCGATCCTTGGGCTGGGAAGATCCCCTGGAGGAGGCCATAGCAACCCACTCTTGTATTCTTGCCTGGGAGATCCCATGGATGCAAGAGCCTGGCGGATACAGTCCGTAGGGTCGCAAAGAGTAGGACAGGACTGAGCATGTCAGGTAGCCTTGTTTGTAAGCTCACGGTGGTTTGCAGATACGGCTCTGTGATATTGCTCCTCTGTTCTGAAGGTCAGTAGGTGGCCTTCAGTAACCTCCCCCTCCCCAATTGTTATTCTTCATTATGTTCCGGGGAAGGAACTAGGAGTCCAGTAGATGCTGAGGGCTTGCCTGAGTGGAGACACAACTGGATTAACCGGGCTCTGCAGACCGGGCCCCAACCTGCTGCTCTGAGATCAAGGAGCAGGGGTTTGCAGAGCAGAGCAAAGGATGAAACAGGATGGATGGAGGAGAGGAAAGAGGGATGTGCAGAAGAAGATCTTTTTTAACAGCAGTTAATGTGGAAAGAGCCCCGCTCTGCAGTTTTGGCCCTCGGCTCTCTGAGTCCTGGGGGCTCTGTCCACGCAGCGAGATCCCTCTTCATGGACCAGCTGTTCCTAAAACTCAGAATAGCTCTCCATGTATTTCGCCATTTCTGTACTTCCCTTCGTGTTCTCATGTACAGAGTCCATTTGTTTCTGACTTCTAACTACATGGATGCAAACACACGTGGGTTTCCTTCTCCAGGATGAGTGTCCTCAGCTCTCTCACCTGCGCCTCACGGGGCAGAGCCTCCGGACCGCCTCTGCTCCCCCAGCCTAGGTGTTCTGAGAGGCCATGACCGCAGACCCGCCACCCCAACTCACAGCTGGACTGTACTTCCCAGCATCCCTGCTGATATGGACTATACCTCCCAGCATCCCACCTTGTTAGGGACTATAGTTCCCAGCATGCAGTGCTTATAGGAACGACTGTGACTTGAGTTCTGGCCAGTGGAGTGGGGGGAGCCATCTGGGTTTCCTCCAGACCTGTCCCAGGAAAATCCCACCTGTGCTGCTCCCCTCCTGGGAGAGAGATGCCAGGGTGCTCTTGGAAGCCTCATGTTCCAGATGGCAGCCACTCCTTGCCTGCATCCCCGAGTGACCACCTGGAGCAAAGCACCACCTCCCTGCCCATACCTGGAGCCACCCCCGCCGTGACTTCCCTTTCACTGGCTGGTCTATCAGTTACCGTAGCCCAGACTGCTAGCAAACACGGTCCCGTAGCCAGGGGATGGCAGAAAGGCAGCTGTCACCGTTCACCAAGATCTCCAGATCACCACCGCATAGCTCGCCCCAAGGCATGCGCCCTAAGGTGCCCTCAGCCCTCAGTGTGCCGTTGGCGCTGCTGATTCCTGATGAACCAAGGCCCCCCATTCCTCCCCCACCCACCCCAGACACTCCCTGCAGATTGCCCTGAGAGCAGGACAGGCAGGGCTGCGAGATGTCCCCGAAGCAGCCTCCTGCACACAGCACGCAACAATGGCTCATGTCCCTAGACTGGGACACGTGGCAATGTGCCTGTGGACAGATGGCAGTTATTTCTCAAAACCAGCTGAAGGCCAAGCAGCAAACCGTGTGGCCTGTGGCTGCCAGTGAGGGGCTGGGGGTGGGGATGACAGCCTCTCAGGTCAGGTCCCAGCCTCTCAGGGAAGCAGCCCCATGCTCGCAAATGCACCACTTTTCCCTAAAAGAACACATTGCTCATTATTGGGCTTTCTTTGGCATGAAAGGAAGAGTTTTTGTATGAAGAAGAAGGCGCTGGTTATCCACCAATCGCAGAAAAGTAACTGACGCAGCCCCCCTCCCTCCTGTTTCACCTCCCATGACGTTAGTCCAACGTTAGGGCCGGTGACCTGGGGACACCTTTGGTTTCCCATTAAATGAAAATGAGAATTGTCTCGAGTGATGAATTATCTGGGCGATCCTGCCAGAAATGAAGTATGCCTGGGCTTGGAGAGAAAACAAAGCACGTGGCGCCCTTGAGCGCAGCGGGTCTGTGAGACTTTTCCTTCCTGGTCTGGCTTCCCAAGGGGGTGGAGGTTGAGGACAAAGGGCCAGGCCTCCTGGAGAGTCTGGGCTGGGGATGCAGAGCCTGGAGGGCACTCGAGCGCCCCGGGGGGATGTGCGCCGGGCTGGGCTTGCGTATTTGTGAGGGGAAAGGAGGGTGCGGAACCCGGCTCGGGCCCCCCAGCCAGGCCCTGTCCTTGCCTGAACCCGCTGCCCTGCCGTCAGCAGCACCACACCGCTCCACCACAAGGCGCTGCCTCTGCTCACAGGACCCAAGTCAGTGGGGGACAGTGGACCCCGGGGGTACCCTGGTGGGAAGGGAGCAAACTGCAGGGAGATGGGGGATCACTGTACAGAAGGGGCCTCCAGAATCCCAGCTCTCTGTTTTACACGGGAAGGGACCATTCCAGAGCCCTGGGAGGTTTGTCTGAATCCACAGAGCCTGTTGGAGCTGAGGGGCCAAAGCCCTGCCCTGGGTGGAGGGCCTGAGCCCGGGGTTTTCAGGCTTCAGGGTTGAGGGAACATGCAAGGAGGAGCCAGGAGCTGGGTCTTCCCAGACCAAAGTGGGGCGGAGGTCCGGGTCTGCCCTGTGAGTGGGGGCATGCGAGATGGGCATGGCCGCGCAGCTCTGAGGACCATCTCAGGATGGGGCGGTGATAGTGCCCTCCCGCAGCGGCCCCTGAGAGAGGGGAGCTGTGGTAAGCAGACGTGAGCCCACCGGCTGGGGTCCTGCCCAGACAGGCCAGGGCTCCCCTGCGTCCCCAGCACCTCTGTCCCCCCCATCCCTCCTCCATCCCCTCTCTCCGGGAGGACTCAGGCTCCCTTCCCAGATGGCCACCCCAACTTGACTGCCGCCTCTGCCTCGGTCCCCGGGAACCCGAGTCAGGGGGTGACAGGCTCGTCCAAGGGACACTTGTCTGTCCACACATGTTCATGACATCAGTGTGCTTCCAGCTTGAGACTTACAGGAGCCACCGACCCGCTCCCCCGCGCGCGCACACACACACACCCATCTGGACATCACACTCCTTCTGATGGCAGGCCTCCCCATGGAGGGATATTTTTGCTTTAGTTTCCCAGGGCTGACGTAGCAAGGGCCCCTGCTGCTACTGCTGCTGCTGCTGCTGCTAAGTCGCTCCAGTCATGTCCGACTCTGTGCGATCCCGTAGACAGCAGCCCACCAGGCTCCGCCATCCCTGGGATTCTCTAGGCAAGAACAGTGGAGAGTGGATTGCCATTTCCTTCTCCAGTGAATGAAAGTGAAGTTGCTCAGTCATGTCCGACTCTTTGCAACCCCATGGACGGCAGCCTACCAGGGTTCCTCCATCCATGGGATTTTCCAGGCAAGTGTACTGGAGTGGATTGCCATTTCAAGGGCCCCAGAGGATGCCAACTCCCCTGAGCATGTTCCCACACTGTCTGCAGGCCGGAAGTCCAAGAGCGAGGCTCCTTCTGAGCTATGGGGAGAAGCTGTTCCAGGCATCCCTCCCGTTTCTGAGTTTGCTGACGAGCTGCGTGGTCCTTGGCAGGTGGACCTCCATCTCCATCTTCACTTGGGACTCTCTCTGGGAGCCCATCTGGGCCCCCAATTCCCCGTTTTATAAGAATACCAGTCATGTTGGATTCAGGACCACACTACTCTAGCGTAACTAATCCACACTACTCTTATCCTAGCTAATAACATCAACAATGACCCTGTTCCCAAATCAGGTCACTGCTAAGGTCCTGGGGGGTCAGGAGTTCAAAATGTGAATTTTGAGGCTCTTCCCAGGTGGTGCTAGTGGTAAAGAATCTGCCTGCCAATGCAAGAGATGAAAGAGTCAAGGGTTCGATCACTGGGTTGGGGAGATCCCCTGGAGAAGGAAATGGCAACATGCTCCAGTATTCTTTTTTCTTTAATTAAATTTTATTTATTTTTAATTGAAGGATAATTGTTTTATAGTATTGTGTTATACACAGTATAGTATATGTGGCAAACACCCACGTGGATCAGCCATAGGTATCCATATGTCCTCTACCTGCTCCAGTATTATTGCCTGGGAAATTTCATGGACAGAGGAGCCTGGTGGATTACAGTCCATGGGGTCAAAAAGACTTGGACATGACTGAGCGCACGTGCACACACACACACACACACACACACGATGAATTTTGACAGGAACACAATGCAGCCCGCGGTAGCCTAGTAAGTGAGTGAACGTCACAGAAATCTGCCAATCAGACTCATGAGCAGCGCTCCTTGGTTTCCAGCCTCATGATATCCAAGGATGCTGCCCTTGACCCTTCCTCACTGCCTCCTGCAGAGCTCCTGGCCAGCCCCTCCCCTGACCCGCAGGGAGCATGGAAGCCAGTTTATCATCCCTCCACCAAGTACAGACACCATTCTAGACGATGCTGAGGCCCCCGTGGGTCACACAGTCACCATCCTAGCCCCGACCATGCAGCTTTCTCACGGTTATTGACCTTCACCGTTATTCAAGCAGACATGCTCATGACCTTGAGCTGTGTCTTGGCATGGCGCTGAGACTTGGATCTGTACCCACAGTGTCCACCACAGCCTCCTGCCTCCTGCACCTTCACCCTCCGACCCCTGCCCTGTGACCTGATCCGGGGGTCAGCTCCTATACTGCTCAGGCCCTTTGGGTCACAGGTCACGGAAACCCAACTTCAGTGACTAGCTTGCCTGGAACGGGAACGGAAAGCGGCGAGTGCAGCTGGGCCCGTGGGCTCCAGGGAGTGGTCTGTTCTCGCTACGCCCCCTCTCCTGTCCCCTCCTCCTCTGTCTCAGTTTGGACGGACTCTGTTCTTTAGGCACGTGTCTCCAGCCGGCTGCCACGGTGGCCACCGGAGCCCAAGTCTGGATTCTTCTGGCTTGGGACCCAGAACAAAGGGAGAGGCCTTCCTTCCGGCAGAGGGCAAGCGTTAAATCTCACCAAAGGGCTCTCAAGTGGTCACCGGGCCGGTCACGGCCGCAGGTGTGGCAGGACCAACCCCACCAGTGCCGAGGGGAAGCCTGGCCCGTCACTGACGGTCCCTCCAGTTAAGCTGTCTGGCTTCACCATTTTGACCAGTAGACGTTTTCATCCTGAGAGTTTCTGACTCCACGTCCTTGCACCATCGCCTTCATCAGAATTGTACCAGCAGTGGTTGAGGTCTGCCAGGGAAACGTTTTCTGAAGCTGATCCCATTAAGCCGGTTTACTTATTGGATCAGTTTCTACACAGTGCAGTTAACCAGACTGTTTCCATTTTTATTTTTCAGTGACAATTTGCTTCATCCATTCTTGTGGGTTTTTTAGGATTTTGTTTTTGTTTTTTAATGATGTCTAATTTCAACAATTGTATCTTCTGCTAAAGTGTATTCTTTTGTGGCCATTACTTCCACAAAGCCAAATTTCTTGGGTAATTTGCACAGATCAAAATTTTAAGAATTTTTTTTATTCTTCTGTCAATCTGAATCAACGAATTTAACATGTGTATTTTTACATAATGTCAGTTTCATTTTCTGTTAATTATTTCTACCAGCTTTCATTTTCCCTGGTTCAGTTTCATAGTTCCCAATATTAACAATGATTTTTTTGTTGCTCAATTTTTATCTATAACAATTTTTATTGCATGCAATTTCAATTTTTGTTGACTTTATTTTATGTTATTTCTACCAGTAATAATACATTTGAATTGGGGAAAAAATCCAATGCTTTTTTTTTTTAGCTAGCACTGAAAAAATGGCATGTAATTACCCTTGGATAATTGCTCTTGTCCACAACTGAATTTTATGTCTTATTCAGTTCTTTCATGAACGATGAATGAGCCTCTGTCTTTGACAGAACAAAATGTTTGCCACAAGGTCAGAATGAACCCAGACGAAAGTGGCAAAGTCCACAGCAACCTTTTGGTCTTGCAGAGCCAAGTGGGATGGAGAGCGGGGGAAGGAATTACCCTGGAGAAGCTGGGTGTTGCTCCTACAAGAAAGGTGATGGGAAAAAAGGCTTGGCAATAGAATGAAAAACGACGGGGTCGTGTTCATCCACCTCTCTATGTCCCTCGTGGCCTCAGACCTTTGCTATTTTCATCCAGTGGCACCCACGGCACCTGCTGTCCACTGATGCCCCCCCGATTGCTTCCTCCCCAGAGTCAAGTGAAGGCACTTTGCTCATTACAAGCGGAGGACCGGGCAGTGCTCCCTCTGCACTGTCAACTGAAAAGAAAGGCCCAGCATAAAAGCCGAGAGTCGTGTTTTATCTGGTGGGCAAACCTGAGGCCTTAAGCTTAGGACACAGCATCTCAGGTGACTCTGAGGGACAGCTCCAAAGAGACAAGGCGTGGTGGAAGGGGGGAGGGGGGAAGGATATATAGGAGTTTTTGCAACCAAGGCCAGGTAGTTGGAACATCAAAGGATTACTGTTAATTAAAGAAAACTAGACGTTGTGGGCTTCCCTGGTGGCTGAGCCAGTAAAGAATCTGTCTGCAGTGTAGGAGACCTGGGTTCAATCCCTGGGTCAGGAAGATCTCCTGGAGAAGGGATGGCAACCCACTCCAGTATTCTTGCCTGGAGAACTCTATGGACAGAGGAGCCTGGTGGGCTACTGTCCACAAAGAGTTGGTCACAAACGGCCACAGAGAGTTGGACACGACTGAGTGACTGAGCGTGGCACAGGCATCTCAAGTTAAAGAATTAAATGATTTTCCGTGGATGTGCAGGGGTCTGGGCTCACCACAATCACTCCTTTGCTGTGCAATCAGCTCTCTGGGGTCAGTGTCCTCGGCTTTCTCATTCTGAGTCCTCGCGGGTGCACCTCTGGGGGCGGCTGTTGTGTGATGGCTTCATGGCTGCAGCCTCCTTTGTTTCCTGATACGGTAGCAACATTTTCATTCACAGTAGCTGGCCTACTAGTACCCAGACCCCCACGACCCCCTGCACACTCATCTCTCAGGATGCTGGCCACAGCTGGATAAAATGCAAACACCATCCCTTGGCGCCCAGTGAGCAGGCGCTCCAGGCCCAGCTGTCAGCCAGGGCTGCACAGGAGTCTCTGTCTGTCCCTCTCCTGTCCCTCAGGAGAAAAGACTCCCCTCTCTGCTCAGGGACTCTTGCCTCAGCTTCCTGCCCTCTCACAGAGGCCCTGGTGCTACACTCCTCTGAGTGGACAGCTGTTGGTGAGACCCCTGTCCACTGTCCTGCAGCCCTGCCCTAGGGGGAGATCAATCCCTCCCGTGTTCTGGATCCACTCCCCCCACCAACGCCCCCAGCTCTTTATGGACCATCTCCTATGATCATTGCCTCATTTCTATTGCGTTCATGTCCTTGCAGGGGGCTGCCCCCACGCCACCTCCCAAGGCTCCCATGATCCTGTGATCTCCAGGCTCTGGAGATCTGGATGCCTGCCCCTCCCCACCATCCCTAGCTCTTGTCTGACCTCTGACCTCCCTCCTCCCCTCTCCAGGACCAGCCTCTTCTAAGGATGCTCTTTCTCTCAGTGTCTCCCACCTGGATGTGGCCTTCCTGCCCCTTCGGTCTAAACCCTCTAACCTCCTGCTAGCCCCACCGTTTCCCAGCTTCAGCCCAGGATCCCAGCTTTTCCCCTCAGGTAGGACACCTCCTTGTCCAGGAGAGAAGCTCTGTTCCAGACTCTTCCTTGTGTCTGCATTCCCAGGCCCGGCCCAGAAAGGCGGTCCCTCACGCAGGCACCCTGGGCCCCACCTGCTCCCACCTGTGGTGTAGGCCCCAGGGCTCTGCGTGTCCACCTTCTATCTGGCCGAGTCCTGAAGCTGAGCGCCTGGCCCCGCAGTGCCCTCGGGTGACCCCCCATCCAGCACGGAGGAGGAGGAGGGGGTGATACACATCAAACTCAGTGGCCAGCCCCTCCCACCACTGTGGCCACTGCTGGGGAAGGTCTGGGGGGCGGGTGGCTGTCCCCACTGCCTTAGAGGCAGGTGCTGCCCTATCAGGCTGTGAATGGGGGCGCCCCATGCGATGGGGCTTAGCGTTGAGCTTGGGGTTGGGAGGCAGCAGGGGCTGGCCCCTCGGTGCCAGCTGCTTCAGCCTTCCCTGGCATGCTCCAGGCCCTGGCTGTCCATTGGTCCCCAGAGCTCCAGGCCTGCCTGGCACACTCCTGGGAGGCGGGCGGTGGCACGGGTCTGCTGCCTTCGGCTTGAGCCCTGAGGGCCCTCCGCTCGGCCGGCGCTTGGGCTCCAGGGCTGGAGGCAAGCACTCAGCCTGGAGATCGGGCATCCGTGCGCCGGGGGTAGCGACAGTCCTGGCCCTGCTACCTGGTGGACACGTGAACTGACCCTTGAGAAATACTTCCGGCAGAACCTGGCACAACCCTTCCTGTTAATGCCCCCTGTCATTACCCATATTTCACAGGGCCACTGTCAGACCCAGGCTGGTAAAGACACTGACCCCTCCTGAGCACTGATCCCTCTTGTCCCTGTTTGCCATCTTCTCGTTCAAGGCTGGCGTTAACCAGAGTGGTGATGGGCCCAGATCACTACAGATGGACCCCGGTCAACAACGTCTCTCCTGGCCCCGACTCCTGCTGCCCCTGGCCCCCGTGGTCCTGTCCATGGTTGTGACACCCGCTGTCCCGGTGCTCTCAAAACGTCCCCTTGGTCCCACCCGAGACGTCTCTAAAGTGACCAGTCAGCCGCGTGTCTCCTGGCCTTTTCGCTCCCTGTAGGGTCGCAGTCTACAGACCCGTTCCTTGAAACCCTCCCCTGCACTTGGGCCACTTGCTGAGGGGCTGGGGCCTCCCCGGGATGTGGACTGGGGTCTGCTCTGTCCCCACCTTCACCAGCCCTGCCCTGATCATGGCACCAGCCCCTTCTGGGCACCCAGGGCCATCTCAGAACGTCCCCTCCTTGCAGTTAGATCAGGGGTCCACGCCCACCGAACTGGAGATGGAGCTCAAGCCCCAAGCTCCTACTTTCAGGATGTAAATAAACTCACAAACGAAGAAACAGTCACTTCACACAGGGGACGAGACTAGCAACCCCGGTCAGGCCCCGGGCTGGACTGGACAGTGCTGGGTCAAGGGGAGGGCGGGGTGAAGGAGGGCCTTTCTGGGGGGCGGTGGGGGAGTAGGGGGAGGTCATGGGGAAGGTCACAGCACCAAGAGGGAGAGGGGGCGCCGTGACCCCTGGTCACACCCACTAAGGGTGGCCTTCCTCTTCTGGAAAGAAATCGGAGTTCAAAACAAGGCGGGGGAGGGCTCAGGAGCGGCATCCCGCCTTGCAGCCGTGGAGTGACCGCTTCATGAGCTGCAGACAGGACTGGGTCCCATCGGCGTCTCCTGGACTGAACTTGGGAAGGTCCTTCTAACGTGTTTCTGAGGGCAAGTCAAAAAGGAAGCCCTGAGCCCTGGCTGGGACTCGTGGTCCCTACTGACCCCTGGTGCGCCACTCTGGCCAAGGAGGGCGGCCCCCTGCGGAGGACGCACCTGCGCCCCTCACACCTGGGACGGTTGGGGGCGGGAGGTGCAGGCCGATCACACGTGCAGACACACTGGCGCATGCTCTGGGGGCTTTGCTTTTGTGGACAGAGATCTGTGGCAGACTGTGCTTTCATGCAGGATTTTAAATTAGTCTTTTTATTATAACTGAAAGTGGAAAATAATACACCTCTGGAATGGTATTAGCTAAACCTTCCACAGTAATAAATCCGTGTGCTAATGGTTTGTTTCTAGGCTGTTTGGTTGTCATGGTGACAGGCTGCATTAACTAATAAGTTTGTTTTGAGAATTTTAACACCAGTTTGCCAAATGCTCTCTTTCTGCTGCAAGGATTTAAGTTCTTACAGTTCCCGTGGAAAGGGATTAACTTGGACTCAGCGTCCTTCAAGCTCTTGAAATGGACAGGGCCCCTTCCACAGACAGGGCTCGGAAACTGTGAGGTGAGCCATCCATAAGCATCCATGGGTAGCAGGACTCTGGGGTCGCGACGGAGGGAGGAGAAACGGACGAGACTGTGACCGTGGCTTTCGGGACCACACCGCTGTGCAGGGACGTCTTGGTGACGCACGGGGAGGCGGAGTGTCTGTCCTGGTTGTTGGACAAGAACGTGAACCTCTCCCCATGGGTCTGGCGCCTCCTACCTGGGCCCACCTCACTCCCATCTGCTGCCCGGAGAGGACCCGCGGGGGAGGCAGCTGCCGAAATGCTGGGAAGGGGTGACAGGGCGTCCAGCCGGGCTGACCCTGGAGAAGGAGGTGACACGAGGTCCCAGTCTGTGTCTGAGCCTCCAAGTGAGGTGCTGCCCACTCCTGAGCCGAGCGGGGCAGGCAGGACTTCTGCTCAACCAGCAGGCCCGCTGGCCCCTGCCTGCCTGCCTGGGTAAATGCTCCGGGCCTACGTGCAGGGCAGCAAAGGAGACACAGATGTAAGGAACAGATCTGTGGTCATAGTGGGAGAAGGAGAAGGTGGGATGATTTGAGAGAATAGCATTGAAACATATGCATTCAGTTCAGTTCAGTTCAGTTGCTCAGTCGTGTCCGACTCTCAGACCCCATGAACCGCAGCACGCCAGGCCTCCCTGTCCATCACTAACTCCCGGAGTCCACCCAAACTCATGTCCATTGAGTCAGTGATGCCAGCCAATCATCTGATCCTCTGTCATCCCCTTCTCCTCCAGCCTTCAATCTTTCCCAGCATCAGGGTCTTTTCAAATGAGTCAGCTTTTTGCATCAGGTGGCCAAACTATTGGAGTTTCAGCTTCAACATCAGTCCCTCCAATGAATACCCAGGACTGATCTCCTTTAGGATGGACTGGTTGTATCTCCTTGCAGTCCAAGGGACTCTCAAGAGTCTTCTCCAACACCATAGTTCAAAAGCATCAATTCTTCGGCACTCAGCTTTCTTTATAGTCCAACTCTCACATCCATACATGACTACTGGAAAAACCATAGCCTTGACTAGACGGACCTTTGTTGGCAAAGTAATGTCTCTGCTTTTTAATATGCTGTCTAGGTGGGTCATAGCTTTTCTTCCATGGAGAAAGCATCTTTCAATTTCAAGGCTGCAATCACCATCAGCAGTGATTTTGGAGCCCAAGAAAGTAAAGTCTGTCATTGTTTCCATTGTTTCCCCATCTATTTGCCATGAAGTGATGGGACCAGATGCCATGATCTTAGTTTTTTGAATGTTGAGTTTTAAGTTGGCTTTTTCACTCTCCTCTTTCAATTTCATCAAGAAGCTCTTTAGTTCTTCTTCACTTTCTGCCATAAGGGTGGTGTCATCTGCATATCTGAGGTTATTGTTATTTCTCCCAGCAATCTTGATTCCAGCTTATGCTTCATCCAGCCCAGAATTTCGCATGATATATACTCCGCATATAAGTTAAATAAGCAGAGTGACAATATATAGCCTTGAGGTATTCTTTTCCTGATTTGGAACCAGTCTATTTTTCCATGTCTAGTTCTAACTGTTGCTTCTCAGATTTCCCAGGAGGTAGGTCAGGTGGTCTGATATTCCCATCTCTTTAAGAATTTTCCACAGTTTGTTGTGATCCACACAGTCAAAGGCTTTAGCATAGTCAATGAAGCAGGAATAGATGTTTTTCTGGAATTCTCTTCTTTTTTTATGATCCAACAGATGTCGGCCATTTGATCTCTGGCTCCTCTGCCTTGTCTAATTCCAGGTCACCTAGAGCCAGACATCTGTAGTGAGAAATCAAGTGGGCCTTAGGAAGCATCACTATGAACAAAGCTAGTGGAGGTGATGGAATTGCAGTTGAGCTAGTTCAAATTCTAGAAGATGATGCTGTGAAAGTGCTGCACTCAATATGCCAGCAAATCTGGAAAACTCAGCAGTGGCAACAGGACTGGAAAAGGTCAGTTTTCATTCCAATCCCAAAGAAAGGCAATGCCAAAGAATGTTACATAGATAGCCAGTGCAACTTTGATGTGTGACACAGGACACCCAAAGCTGGTGCTCTGTGACCACCTGGTGGGATGGGGTGGGGAGGGAGGTAGGAGCAGGGTTCAGGATGGAGGGGACACACATGCCTATGGCTGATTCATGATGATGTATGGCAAAAAAATCACAATACTGTAAAGTGATTATCCTCCAGTTAAATAAATAAATAAATTTTAAAAAGGCTCCAGGCCAAGGATTCCATCTTAAAGGAGGGACGTCCTCACCCTGAGTGGGCGCTCCAGGGCCCGAGGACAGAGGGCAAGGGAGTGGCCCTCACGGGGCTGCTGTGTCCTCGGCTGACTTGTCCACTGCTTGTTCCCATTAACCACCCTGCATGATGACACCTGCTGTGTCCTGGCTGGCACGGTGCCTGCAGAGAGTTCCCCTTCACCCCGCCCCGGCCTCTGCTCTGTCCTTCCAGACTCTCCTCTGGGAGCCTGGAGACAGTCAGGACGCATCCACAGGTGCTGGGAGGTCGTGGTCCTTGCGCAGATGCGCCGGGCCCCCGGGTCCTCCCTCCCACCGGGGCCTGGCAGAAACAGTGGCCTGCTCACATCAAATCATGGACCCCAGGCCCTCACTGCCCCTCAGTGGCCCCTGGTGTTGAGATCCCGCAGAGGGGCACGCATGCCAAAGGTGGAATCCTCTGCTTGCCGAGGGCACCATCTGCGCCCTGAGAGTGGGGAGTAATTTGCTAATGTAAAGTACGCATTCGGCTCTGGTCTGGACACTGGGGGACAGATCGGGCATGTCCTGCTCCAATGGAGCCTGGGTCCCAGCGTCTCTGGAGCAAGCAGGTGAATGATGTGTACAGAGCTCCAGGTGAAGGGTGCCAGCAGGGAGGTCAGTCTGGTGGGAGGTGGGTGATGGGGGGAGGGGCAGGAGGGGACCTGGGTGAAGCGGGCAGATCCCAGGGCTCGGGAGGGGGCGTGTTCAGGGGGCTCACTCACTGCCGGGATGAAAGCGCAGAGCAGGTGCTCAGCAGCAGGCCTGTTCCAAGGTGAGGAGGATGCACTGCCGGTCTGGACACCTGCCTCCCTGAAAGCACAGAGGCTCCTCCTGCAGCTGATGGAGCCGATCACTCCGCCCCCTATGAGGGATCACCTCCGCCCTCGGCTATCAGGAGAGAGACGGACGCTGCAGGCCACCTAAATGACCCCATGACACCAGATAGAGGCAAGGCCCGTCAGTTTCAAGAGTCTGAAGCTCTTCAGATGCACTTGGAAAACTATCATAGTCAGTCTGCCCTCGCGGGCTGTGGAGCCCCGGGCGGCGCACCTGAGCCTCTGCACGTGTTTCCTCGCCCATGACCGGGTGGGTAGCAGCACCCCCCACGTGGAAGTGGTGACGACTGAAGAGTCACGGGCACAAGGCCCGGAGGGCACTGCCCGGCCCTTGGCGGGACTTGCGACGTTAACGGCTGTGTCAGCTGCCGCTCGCCAAACAGTGAGTCACCTGGGACGGAGTAGCTTAAAGCAGCAATCTCATCATCTCCCGCCACTCATGTGGGTGAGGAATCTAGGCAGGACCCAGCGGGGTGGAGGTGACTTGTCTCTGCTCTGCTCCATGTGAGGCCCCAGCTAAGACGACTCGGGGGTCTTCAAGCCTAGTCGATGGCAGGCAGGACAGCCCTCTGCAGGCCCTGTCCTCTGAGGGGGTGTGGGAGGGCCCCAGCAGCAGTGGCCCCTGGCCTGTCACAGCTCTGAAATCCAGCCAGGTGCAAGCCAGGTCCTCGGTTACAATCAGCCCTGCAGGGAGGAGGGACAGCGTCCCAGGCTGGGGACACAGTGAGGCTGAGGCTCTCAGGCTCTCTTCATTCATTCCTCCATTCATTTCTTCATTCAACGCTTTTGAGATCCTGAGCATTTGATGAATGGGTGAACGTCAGGGCCATGAAGAACAAGGTGGTGAAGAGGGAGGCAAACCCATGTCACCAGGAACTTGCATGTCAGGGGACGCAGCAGAGACCCTGAAGGCCTGAGAGCCACAGTCCAGCACAGATTCCTCTTTCAGAAAACTCCCCCTTGCAGCTGGAGGGAGGCGGAGGGATGGATGGGAGCCCTGACTGGGGTGGGGAGGGGCAGATTCTAGGGGTGGGAGGAGGGGAGCATCGCATTTGGTGGGGTGCTGGGGGTGGGTGGGGGACAGGAGCCCTGAATGCCCCAGGGGAGCCTCACAGGGTGGGGCCATCAGCCAAGGGAGAGAAGGCTTGATGGTGAGAAAGAATCTGTTTGCAGGGAAATGGTGATCTCAGGTTTGGAGCAGCAAGGGGTGGCGTCCGAGGGAGGAGAGAGGTGGGTGTGGACACGTCGCGAGGCTGACTCAGAGATGTAGAAACAGCACTGAGACTGACTTTCCGGCAGGAAAATCTCCGTTGTTGTCCTGTCTTATGCCAGGGAGTGCATGGTCATGTATGAGGGTGAGCTTAGAAGAAGCATGGTAACACATATGTTTGTATGTAACACGTTTTGGAATTTCACAGCAGGCTCTGTGAATGTGTGAGGGTGTGTGTGTGTACATGGGGAATTTGTTTCTGCTTTTGGTGTCATTTCCAGAAGTGACTTATACGAATATTTGTAATTGCTCCGGACAAGGAAGCTGATAACAGCACTACAGAAGCAGTTCATCATAAAAGAATTTATCTTTTTCTGCTAGCACCACCCTTATAGACAGAATGTTTGTGTCACCCCTAAACTCACGTGTTGTTGAGGTCCTAGCCCCCAGAGTGGTGGTGTTAGGAGGTGCCACCTGGGGGGTGACTGGGGTTAGATGCGCTCATGAGGGCGGGGCCCATGATGGGATTAGTGCCTTTATCAGAAGGGAAGGAAGACTTCTCCATCTCTTCGGTTTCCCTAAAGCACCGCAGAGAAGTCCTTTCAAGCCAATGACATTTGGAAATTGCTTCTGTGACTTAACTTCCCTGGTGGCTCAGATGGTAAAGCATCTGCCTACAATGCAGGAGACCCAGGTTCAATCTCTGGTTCAGAAAGATCTCCTGCAGAAGGAAATGGCAACCCACTTCAGTATTTTTACCTGGAAAATCCCGTGGATGGAGGAGCCTGGTGGACTACAGTCCTTGGGATCGCAAAGAGTTGGACATGACTGAGCGACTTCACTTTCACTTTCTGTGATTTAAAGAAATGCATAGAGACTGAACCTAGCAAATACAAAGACCCTGAGACCCCTGTAAAAGTTAGGGGTTGGAGCAAACAATCCTGCACAGTTGTACACGTTATATCACACACTCTCTGTAGCATCAAAATTTACGTTCAAGACAATGTACTCAGTACACGGAAGCACAGAGGTGTCAGAGGCACGTCTGTCCACTAAATGGGCTCTGACCACGCCTGGCCTGGCCTCTCCATTTTATAGGGAGGCGCGCTCAGGGAGGACCGTTGACTCCCACCACACACCAGTCAGCCGACCACAGCCAGCCCTGCTCAACTCCGTCCTGCCCCCTCCCCCGGCAGAGAAGGCTTGGAGGCCAGGTGTTGCCCCAGAGGACACCTGTGACCCCACGAGCTGAGTGGTCCAGGCCAGGAGCTCAGTCCAGACCGTTCTGATCTGGAGCCCGAGCAGCAGGGGCGGGGGAGACACCTGTTGTGGAGTGGCAACTCCCTCCTGTCCAGAGGAGAAAACCCGTTCAGAGTCCCTTCTGAGCAGAGGATGAGGTCTCTGTGGGCAGATCTGAGAAGGCTGTGCTTCTCCAAATCCTGACGCACTCCACGTTTTCCTGGCAGCAGACATCCCTCGATTCGCCCTCCGAGCCCCTGAGGTGCCGGCGCTACTCGTAGCTGAGCTGCCGGCAGGGCCCCCGGCTAGTTCGTGGCCCCCGCGCGTCCCCGCAGCCTGTGCGGCTCGTCAAGGGCTGAGCCTGCATCCGCTCGGAGGCCCATGCTAAGTGTGGGGGGCCCTGTGGCCGCAGCGTGTCCCACGGGCCCCCTTCCCCTGGCAGGTGCGGGAAAAACTCGGAACCACCACCCCGACAGAAGGGAGAGCAGGGGAGGGTGGCCTGGTTCTGGGATGCCGACAGGGAGTTCAGGCCCCCTGCCCAGGCTGGGCTTCTAGGGACCTGGGGTGGTGAGAAAAGTGAAGGCCCCTTGTCCTCTGGGAAGGGCCTGTCCTCAGCGGCCCAGGGCAGGGCCCAGGGGCACTGGCAGTGTCCTTCTCCCACACAGCATTGAGCTGGGGCCACACAGGGCCTGCAATCACCCTCTAGCATCTGAAGGCGGGGAGGCCCACTGATATGGACCTCAAAGTTATTTACACTCTCTTGAACTTGCAATGGGCTTCCCTGGTAACTCAGCTGGTAAAGAATCTGCCTGCAATGCTGGAGACCTGGGTTTGATCCCTGGGTTGCGAAGATCCCCTGGAGAAGGGAAAGGCTACCCTACCCACCCCAGTGTTCTGGCCTGGAGAAGTCCATGGACTGAATTGTCCATGGGGTCGCAAAGAGTCGGGCACGACTGAACGACTTTCACTTGGCTAGAATTTGCATAAAGCTTTCTGGGGCTTTCTGTGCAGGAGGTTGGCTGTCTCAGGTGGTACAGAGATTCTTAGCTTGAACAGACTTCAGTTGGGATCCCAGACCTTCTCCTGGGCCCATGCGTGCATTTCCCTACAACATCCAGTTTTAGTAGGAACCCTGCTGGGTCAGTTTCACCAAAAAACCCGCCATCCATGTCTAATCACCTTCCATGCCTGATTGGGGCCCTCACCCTGCCCCCACCACCACTCCGGGAGATGTCTGACCTCCCGGGCCTGCCTCCAGCAAGAAGCTTGTTGGGTTGCTTCAGCCAGAGCCCCTTCGCCCCTGATGTTTCCTCTTATAATTGTCCATACACTGACCCTTACCCCATTTCTCGGCTGTAATTCCCTCGTGTCCAGACTGTATTCTGATTTGGGTCCAGATCTATTCTGAGGCCTCTTTTCCCCATTGCACCACTTTCTGAAGAACGTCTGCTCCTGCAGCATTAGCTACTGCCCAGCTCCGGGTGCACGAGCATGAAGCTCGGGCCCAGAGACAGTCTCTGCTTACGCAGCAGGACCAGGGCTGGGTCACAACCGCGTGTCACTGACTCCCTGGTGTCCCAGGGGCTTTGAATGTGGGCAGCGCCCCGGGAGTCCTCCAGTGATGGGACATCTCAGCTGAGCCGCGAGTGGGATGAGACCTCGTGAGAGGGGAAGAGAAGGGGGCAGAGTCGGGCGCAGAGGGGCAGGCAGTGGGAGCAAAGGAGCAGGTGGTCTCCCGCCGGCCCCCAGGCCCTCACAGGAGAAGAGCCCCCTCCTCCTCGGCTCGCAACCCTGCTCTCCGTGTGCGGACCCTTGCTCTCCTCGTGTGGCTCATGAACAAGCAGCATCAGCCTCAGCTGGAGCTTGTCAGGAGTGCGGACGCTCAGGCCCGGCCCTGGCCTCCCGAACCAGGATCTCCACTCTCACAGGCCCTGGGGACCTGAGCACCCCGGAGTCTGACAAGCTCTGCTCGAGATCCCGGAAAGTGGAGGTGGCTTCACGGCTCCCGTGGCTGATGTATCCTTGAGCAGCCCAGGCTGACACCTAATGAGCTAGCCTTTCCCTTCTCCAGGGGATCTTCCCAACCCAGGGATCGAACCCAGGTCTCCCGCATTGCAGGGGGATTCTTTACCAGCTGAGCCAGCAGGGAAGCCCCCTAATGAGCTAAAATCCTACTTAACTTCTATGTTCATTTGGCCTGTTTGTGTTTAAGCATGTTTGCTCTGCTCACCTGTTTTACACAATCTCGGGGGATGCGGCTGTGGAGTGACCTGATACTCCACAAAGGACACGCTCTCCCATGGAATGTGTTTTTGTCCATTTCCCATAGGCAGCTGGCAGGGCACCGAGCCATGCATTCATGACTGTGTTCCAGTTAGATCACCTTACTTTCAAAGGCCAAGCATCTGGATGAAGATCCAGCCTGCAGAGCTAGCTGCAGAGAAAAGGACTGAACCTGCCCTTGACTCATCTCAAGGTCACTGGGTTTCACCAGGCTCTTGCTGCCCCACGCATAGAACTGCAGGCGAGGCGAGGAGACTGATTCTGGCCCCCAAGGCTGGTCTGCAGCGGTCAGGAAGTGCCAGGGTTGATTCGAGAGCACATATTGTGAAAAAGGAGACAGTTCTACATGAGAAAGAGTCACTGAAGTGCAAAGGAAAGAAGTGAGCAGTTGTTGAAACTGTTTTCTTCCAAACATCACAAGTCAGTGAACAGACCACATTCAAATTTTTAAGATCAGAAAACTCATCTTCAAAGAGATGTCATGCTTCTAAATGTCCATTTAACATCTGCCCATCCACCCCTCCCTCCCTCCCTGCATCCACCCATCCATCCATCCAGCTACCCCACCCATCCATTCATCTACCTCACGCATCCATCCATTCGTCCACCCATTCATATATTCATCCATTCATCCATCCATCTATCCATCT